TTAAATAAAAACGAACTTCGTACTATCTTGACTACTTATATGAATACAATACAGCTAACCTTTCATTGTTATATTTATTATTACTTTAAAATAATTTACTTTAAACAATAGAAAAAATAAAAACTTGTTATTCCATTTAAATAGATATTATACGCTCATAAGCTTCTTTCATTTAAAGCAAAACAAGAAAGTAAATGTTAAAGAATAAAAATAACAACTTTTATCAAAACCTTAATTTCAAAAGAAACCATAACAAACTTACCGATATCTTACACACGGCAATATAAAACAAAATCCGGTTCAAATCAAACGAAAAGCAAACAATTATAAATACCACAGGTCGGTACGCACAAATAAAACGGAAATAAATACTAAAACACAATGACAACACTTTCTCAATTATATAAAAGTTGTTTGTAAGTATCGCGTGAGGTCAAAAATCGTATTATTTAACCACGTGAGATATGCTGTAACCGAACAGTGGACGTGCTCCGAGTGCTGTCAAAGCGACCAGCTGGCCCGCGATCTCCGCCACTCTAGCGGACAAACGCACAACTAATGCGGTGCGGGGTCGAACTAGTGTAAGTCGAGTTAACTTAAAATATACTTGACGTTTTCTTCTTTCAATTAAAATTTTATCTACATTTACATAGCATTAAAATTTTATTATGACTTTTATACTATATCTAAAATTTGCATTTTTTATTTTCTTTTATACATTGAAATATGTATGTATATTTGAAAAATGTACGTTTTATTCGTGGTGATTTATACAAAAACGCGCCATATGATCATTCAATGTTTACCATAAAGGAATATTAAAAATGTAAAATTTCAAATAAGTATCGTGATAATCCAAAATAAGATCAAAATCGTGTATAGCCACTTTTGTCTCGACGCTGGCCTGTCGCGTCATGGCGTCGGTTGGGGGGGAGGATATTGACTTGCGGCGCCCTCACTGCGCATGTACTATACCATGTGTTTCTGTTTTTAAGCTCGTGCTAAGAAAATGATGGCTATTTCTTTGTTAATAATTATGATAATAGCAGTGTTCCGCAAAACGGATACGCCACTTGTCTCAGACGTCCACTGCAGGGCCGCTATAGCGCAGCGACTAACGCGATGACCTGAACGGCCTTGACCCTCAGTAAAAATTAGCTCGTTGCTTACGTCGGCTACTATTTAAGAGGCTATAAATAATTGCCCTTACCTAAGCAATTTGTGCCGGTTTTAGTTATCTAGTTGTATAGAAAATTGTAAACATTAAACTTTTATGCGATATAAATATATTTATCATTAATAACTTGTTAAGGCGGGAGGAATGAATTCAGTAAAATGAAATATAATAAAACGTGTCGTAAAAATACATATTATGATTGTTAATACAAGCTCGCTCTTAGTACCGAGACTCAAGTACAATCATTATTATCCAACTTTGTTTCCGTACTGAAGACTGCAGCTAATCGTCTCAAGTGTTGGCTCGTAGCCAATGTACAAAGATTTCTTATATGTCACTTTTTCATCGGTTTCTCCGAAGTCAAAAAAGAGCGGAAACCATTATATTGATTTATGAAACAAGTGCCCCTAAGCCTTCGAAACTGTAACGCTGAAATATTAAGGTACACCCAACAAGTATATAATGTATGTATGTATTGGAAATTTATGTACTTTACTAACCAATTTATGTATGGGTACCGTATTAGTTACGTTCAGAGCATCTTTAATACGCTATCAGAAACTTGCAAAACCTGCCGTCGATATAATCCATATTCTAAGTTTCTTCTCGGTCGATCTTTTTTAATACTTCTAAAACTTAAGGTTCGCTTCTTAACCAAAATATCCTTACACTCATATTAACCTTAAATTACTAGTGTTTCTTTAAATAGGCATCGAGTTAAAACAAGGCAGTATCTTTAGGAAGATTTGAGTGTGATGTGACATGATTTTGGCTTAGTTCCTATACATCAAACGTCTCTTGAAACAAATATCAATAGAATTATACACAAGCCACGGATTCAGTATGTGTCGGGGTGGATACCTAATGTATATTAATATTATATGGGGATCTTTTTAATTTTGAATGCGCCAGATTTTTGGTTTAAAATCTGACATTCGACTTTCAACAAACACCATGATAAATATTAGACTTTATTGCTCTTTTTTACTATAGATTATTTATAACGATATGTATTAGAACGATAACATATTATATTAAATATTATAGGAAATAATTGTTTTTATCATTATTATAATTAAAACTAAAGCATTTTAATAAAGAATTTCATGTTGCACTCCTCGTAACATATGCGAATGTAGACTTATGGCAAATTCGATAAGGGGTAATTCGTTTTTTACTTTATCAATATGGGGGATGTGAGTAATGTGTATAAATCATAATATGTGTGCACACAAGCAAATCTCCGACATTAACTTTATTAAAAAAGGAACTGTTAATTCACAAAATAATAAAGATATTTGGCAACTTGTTTTATTTTAATGCCAACATTTGAAGGATGTTCAATCTACAGCCCGTACAATGAATACACAAATAGACTTGATTTAAAATTTAAAAAACGTTATTCTCTCTGTTACATTAACCTAACTGATACAATTTATCAAAACTATTCGTCAACATTTTTACTTTTTAGGCTTAAGTAAATATTGTTAAAGTTATTAAAATGGCTTGTATTGTATTAGAATTTAAGCTGAAGTGAGAACGTTTGTTATCTAGTAAGGAGTAAACATACATTCTTGTGTAAATAGTATTTACCTGTGATTATAACTATTATGACATTACCCGTTAGTTAAACAACATCTATTTTATATTTTCAAAGCGCAGCTGTATAGTAAAATTTTTTCGTTGTCTATTAGGTAAACTTACTTTTTTCCCTTATTATCTGTACTATAGATATTAAATTTAAAAAATATGGGATCAAATTCAAATGTACTATTATAGGAGACCGCATCCAAATGTATATTATATAAAACAAGGAACCAAATGTATGAGGTGATTGAGTTTAATTCAAACCAGACAAGAAATTTGTTACGTTGACCCTTATGACCATTTGAAAACAAGTGGGTTTATTATAAATATCATTGAACTGTTAAAACAAAAACCTGTTTATTTAATATCTCACAGGTTGGCGAATTGTATGGGTTTAAGTGGAACTATGTTTCAACGTTGTTAAATGTCTTACAATTTAGTTCAGTCTCATACCGAGAGAGGGCTGAAGTTTACAAACTTATTCCAGCTTAAGTTAATGCGGGTTTTGAATCTCGTGTATAGATGGCGCTAGGGCTTCATATTGACAGAACCGCAAAATTGTATGTCATCGTAAGAAAAGTATTTCATGTTACAATACATTTTAGCACGTACAAATTAGATAATATGTATATTACATTTTTTATATATTAATTTCCAATTATAAAAATAAAAAGTATCTATATAACATTTCAGAAATACAAAATACTCTAAAAATAATAAATATCTTGATTATATTTTCGAGTTTTGGTAAGTTTTAGGATTTAAATATGTTTTGGATTAGCTTCTGTTTTGAATCAAAATACTGACGAATATATACAATAAAAAACACTTAAAAAACATTCAGATATTATTTTCAAATTGTAAGAAATAAACTGTTAGATATAGGTATATTTATCAGATTCACTACATTTATTTAATTTTCTTTCCCACCCACTTATTTCTCGACATACATTTTTACCGCCTACTACACTTAGCTATTTTGAGTAGACATTCCTTCCCCAGATCCTATCATTTTATACAAACACATTGTAATGGATGATATACATTTGTGAACAATACTAGAACATAGGACCTCTTAATATTCATATTATGATATAATATTTAAATTTATCATAATAAATAAAACAGCTTACTAACATAAAGCGGCAGATTTTTAGTATTAAAGTTATGTATTCGTCTTTAATGTATTAATATATTGGGTACGTTTTTCCGTCTCAGACATTATCGTAAATAAAAATCAGTATATATATAACATGACTAGCAATTCTATTTCAAACTAACTTAAGCTAAAGGTCAAATGGAACTCTTAGTCAAGGTTGCGATACTCTTCTATTTATGTCAGGACAAGTTGCCATTTTAAAAAAACTTCGCAAATGTCATACATGCACACTTACAATAGTCATATTCATATTACAAAATATATTGCATTTGTTATCGTGACAAATAAGACGAAAGAATACGCATAAATTATTACATAATAAGATACATTAAATTTTTACATGAATATGTGGATTTATTCCCCTCAAAGACTATGGTTTTTCTAGACAAAAGATACCAACTTAACTACCCACTCTTGAAAATACATATATGTATATGTAAAATTACAAGCTGATCAACTCAATTCATCAAAACCCACTCACATTCAGAGATTTATTATGTGAGATAGCATAATAGCCTTTGCTGGAATAATCCAATATCCTAAATTCGATCGCATACCTACTATCATACGTTATGCGTTCTATCACAACCAACCGTTTGACAACTGAATTTCTGAATCACCTGAACCACAACCAACAACTAGTTGACGTAAATCATTGGATAATGGAGTGTATTATGTTAACACAACATGGACCTTTACAAACATTCCCCGTCCCAACAAACCTTATTGCATAGGCAATAAAGCCTTACTAGGACCGTCTGCAATGGAAGTAGGGAGCTGTAGACCTTTTAGAGGTATTTTGTCCATGAGTAACACCTAACTGAATATTAATGAAAGTTCTCTTAAACTTTAGACAAAAAACTTGTGTGTCACATTACAATATGTAACATAACTTAATGATGTTTGTAAAGTTGTGTCTTTATACCACACACATGTCTTTTTATATATTCCTAAATTAAATAAAAGCTAATAAAATAATGAATGCTAAAAAATATTTGCGGTTTAAAAATAATAGGAACGGCCTTTAATTCGTATTAATCTTTTGTAATTAGTCAGAAATAGTAATTTTATGCTCACCCAGAGATGATTTGGAGACGAAACTGCGACGTTTCTCTCTTAACTTGTTCTTAAGTATCCGCCTCTTCAAACGGTTGAGAACGACGTCGGCTTCGTCTACACTCTCAGAAGATGAGGACGAACGAGTGACTTGCATACCACCACTCACAGTGTGCCGTCTTTTTCTCGGTAATATATTTGATGTTCCACATCTTGACTCAATTTCAGATAAACCTCGCCTGTACATTTTCAAACGTTTTTTCATTTCACAATCGGCGAGCGCGTCCGTCGATATATTCATAAAATCATTCTCAGTAGTATTATCTTCTACTTTATATATTTCCGGTTTTTGGGCACAAAATGGTTGAGATTCGATTCGCTTCGGTTTCCATGAATTAGTTTGTAACGTTATTTGGCGTAGGTGTGAAGTAAACCGATCCGGATTGGAAGTTGCGCGGGCAGGTAAGCTTTTTAAATATGTGTCGAGAAAGGAAACCTTATTTTGGGGTATGTTATAAATGGCATTTGATTTTGAGCGGTGTATATTATGCGAACCCTTTTGATGTACCGGCAGTCTGGCGGCGTCAAATGATTGCGATGTCCGAAGTCCCAAACAAACATTATTCTGTACATCGGTCTTATCGTTATTGCAATCGATATTGTGTAAAGATACACTAGATGTATTTATCGAGTTTTGAGTAGAATCAATATCATCCAATACTTCGTTACTGGAAGACAATTTGTCATTAGTCGGCAAATCGTGGCAGGTTTCATTGTCGGAACTTTTATAACTGCTAGCTTCACTCGGCCCTTCTGAATGGAAGGGCGTGGTGTCGAGGCTGTTTACTTGCAAATTATGTAAGTTGTTGTTTACTGTAAGTTTACTTGGAATGTTTGTTATACAGCTACCGTCTTTGATTACATAACATTCATTATTTTTACAACAGATATCGTTATTTTTAATGTGTACGGGATTACGATAAACGCGGGTATATATTCTATCACCTGATATAGTGTTGTGTTTTCTTATAATTTTTTTCCTAACTATGTGTTTGTAATCCTTCTCCCGCAACGACTGACTTGTTCTAAGAGGGGTCTCATCGTGATCTAAGCTTGTAATCGATATATTCTCGTCGTTTGTTTCAACTAATAGATTCCCTTCGGAATCAAACAGCTGTATTGTTGGGAACTTAAGACCGGGTGAAAGGTTTCTGGTTCGCAGCTCCCATTTCCTATGAGTAGGTTTTTTAAGCTGTATTCGAATAACGTTGTCATCTATTAATGGGCCATCACTATCACTCGTGTCCTCTTTCTCCGCCATTTTGCAAATTTTGCTTCGTTTTCTATGTGAGGCATTTGAATATAAATTTTCAAAATATGTTCTATTATCCAAAAATGTTGTAAATTAATATAATATTGTTTGTTTACAGTCAGCTGTTAAATTTGGCATGCCTCCAACTATTCTTTGCCATTCGTTTTAAAATAGCACCAATGTCAATTTTGTTTTTCAACATACAAGTAGTTGTAGTATTAATTTAATAATTATTAAAAATTATAACTGAAACCAATAATTTCACTAACACTATCCACTAACACGCACTGTTAACGTTAACTGAACGCTATTACGGAATGATGTAGAAACGATTGCATAAGTTGCATGCTCGCAGTCCACTGTTTACGTCTTCACATAATACAAAAACTTTTATTAATATTAAAACAGATCAAACTTAACGTACACATCTTCATAGTTTCATAAAACACGCACGTGTAATATTTAGATATTGCTATTCTCGCTGCCGGACATTTCGGTACTGAGAGCAAACTGCTAAATAGACTTGAGACACTATAAATAGTGGAACGCGTCGGCAATCTGGCTGGCTCCCCTTGAACCTAGAGCGTAACAAACGTAATATTGCGTCCACGCATTTATACTGGCACAGATTTTCTTTTGACCAGAAGCGCAACCATATGCACAATGCGCACGTGATTAACGAACTTATGTCTAGTAGAAACAGCGAATTCGTAGTTACCTTATACGCCTACCATAATGTTTGGCTCTGTTAAATACAGGAACTAGGAATATAAGCGAGGATCGTCTTATCACTCATAAATAATTATGAACTGTATTTATTTCTTACTTAAATAATTAAACAGAATATTTAGGGTTTGACAAATTTTGTTTGAATTTTTTTTGTACTTAATATCAATTGTAGGCAAAGGCGCCTTCAATTGACCCCGAGACTTACAAGGAAAGGAGATTGTATAATGCACTTGTTCTAACAGTTACACAAACGACGAACATTTATTTAGATACTATTCATAATTTGTTCGCGAAAATTTTGAACCTGTTTGAAACTAAAGTATTACAAAATATATTGAATATGTCTTAAATTTTAAAGTCAAATTTTTTCTAAACATAAGGTATTATAAGTCAAAAAGAGGAATAAAGATTCTGGTATGAAATTTAAAAAGAACAATTAACTGGTTTTAATTATTAGTTGCTGTAAACGAGGACAATTCAAAAATCTCATGGCAATTTATATTTTTTATGTTTATTTTCTTAATTAACTAAGTACATTGACGGAAATGTTGCTGTTATGTTGATTCAAATATTTGATTACGAGCCTGTTTCAACTGGTTCCTTCACTTCAAAGTAATTGTTTGCTCAGTATATTTCATTAGGCGTATCCATTTTTGCGAAAAAATTAATACAATCAATTATGAATATTAAAAATATATATATAAAATACATTTTAACTTTTACTATAAACCATTTAAGCTGTGACCTCAGCACGTTTTCAGAGATTTAGTAAATTTCAGTTTATATTTAAGTTGCTAACTTAATTATGGAGATGAGGGTGCCAACGCTGAAGTTAAATCTTTTATAAGACTTGACAAATCAACACGTGTCTTTCGTCAACGAATTATATTATGAGAAAAAACACATCTGCAGTGTGTTTTCATATTACACGGGGTTTTAAAAAATATTGCATATACTTTAACTATTCACGTAAATATTTTATTATGATTGATTTGTTTTAAAAGTAATGAAATTTGTAAATGCTGTAATGTTAACACAATACATTTGTTTTCATTGTCATTCAAATGTCATATTCCATAAATCACGTGTCATATGCTAATGGTTGCACGTGTTTGGCATCGGAGATATTTGTCGAAGGCAAATTTTTTATATATTTTAATTTTACTTGAACGATTCTTGTCCCTAGCTCGACAAATATACTACTTCTATATTTAGGACTGCTGAATATTTGTATTCGACATTGAAAACTCACAATACGTAGTAGTTTATACTTTTTAATTATTTAAATATTTCTTAATTTTCTCAACCAATAACTTGTTTGAAATTTAATCGAGATAGAAAAAATGTACCTATATAGTAAATATTTTCTCTCTATAATCATTTTAAGAATTTTGATAATTCATAACCGATTTAAGATACTTAATGTATGTACCTAGCACATACATAATCATTCAAATATTTTCAACAAATTATAAAAGTCATATTTCAGTCATAAAAAATTTGAAGATATTAAAATAAATTGGTCGTTTATAAAAATTATTTAATATCTTCATATTAATAGTTTTAATAAAACTTCATGGTTTAGCATTTTTTGTGGGCTGGGCTCGTTCTTTCCATATAGCCATTACCCGTGATAAATAGATTCTGTGGACGGCAGGTGCGGGCTACAGTTAAACGACCATTTCATAATTACTTTCTACTTGGTAATGTAGGAAAAGCCTTTTATAATACTATATATCTAGGTCTATGGTCAGGTTATTTAAAATAATAATGTCTGAATACAAAATTAGTTATAAAGGCACTGAGCTTCCTCTTCAAACAAATGGACTATTTTGCCAGGTGTTCATCCCATTATTTTCCCAACACTTTTTTTTTTTTTTTTTTTTAACGAGGAGAATCTTTCAAAGACTTCCCGCCGCGGGGGAAACACGGCGGGGGCGTGTGGGATTTCCACCCACTAAACTCCTCGACGTTCTCTGCGCAGTGCGTAGGCTAGTGAGCGGGAACGGCGAGCCATGCTTCCGCTCACTACGCACAAGTCCCGAAAGGGACTCCGCCATCGGCAGGGGTATCAGTGGCTAGACCACACCACCCCTCCGACTCAAGAGCAGCGTGCCGGGAACGCCAAACACGCCGCTCTTACTCAGGCCTATGTTACCCGGACGCCGGTTCCCCACCGACGCCCGGAGGCTCCTCACTGGGGAGGCAGGTCGCGGGCATATGCCCGCTGCCTTCGACCCAGTCTACGTCGACGCAAGGGCGCCGAGGAGGGGTCGTCTTCCCGTGCACGTTCTGCGGCCTCTTTCCGCGACATCACGTGCTCGCAGAACTTGACCATCGCCTCCCAGGCCCTCTCGCTACCGACCATGGCCTGAACCACAGCCGGCAACGATAGGTCTGCGCCAACCACTGTGGTGAGCTGGCGACGCTCTACAGCCCACGCAGGGCACTCCGCCAAAGTGTGATCGGCCGTGTCATCCATGCAACTGCAATGGTGACACGCCGCAGACGGCTCTCTCCCGACTATGTGGCACAGATACCTCCCAAAGCAACCATGCCCCGAGAGGATCTGCACCAGCCGGAAGGTCAAGGAACCGTGTCGGCGGTCCACCCACTCTTTAAGGAGCGGGCGAATAGCCTCCACGGTTCACAACCCGGCCACTGGCTCAGAGAGTTTCCGCTTCCACCGGCGAAGCAGTAAGGCGATCAAGGAGCGCCGCCAACCTTCCACCCGATCCCGGTCCGGACTCGGACCCCGGGATCGAACTCGCGCGCGCTGGTGGTACACCTCTGACAGAACCTGGGCATCCAGTTCCCACGGAGGCGTCCCAGCCAGTACGCAAGCCGCCTCATGGGAGACGGTGCGGTATCCCCGTACCACCCTCACCGCCATGACGCGCTGCACTCTGTGCAGCGCAGCCACGTTCGGCCTTGTGAGGGCACCGGCCCACACCGGAGCTCCGTACAGCGCCATTGAGCGCAGCACGCCAGTGTACAGGCGCCGACACGCCACGCTCGGACCACCGAGATTCGGCAGGAGCCTTCCGAGAGCGTTCGCCGTCCTGAGGAGTCTCGGGACTAACCCGCGAAAATGCTCCCGGAAGTTCCACTTTCCGTCCAGAGTCAGCCCCAGATACTTCATCCGGGGACTGAGCTCGACGGGGACGCCGCAGATGTTAATGCTTGCGCCCGTCGGAAGTCTTGCTCGAGGGCCGTGGAATAGGAGGGCCTCGGTTTTCCCGAGACCCACCCTCAGCCCGAGCATTTCAATGCGCCGCACGATTAAGGCAGCACCAGCCTCGGCACGCGCCTTCGCCTCTGACAGGTCATCACCTCGGGCTACAACGAGCGTGTCGTCTGCATAGCAGACGACGCTCAGCCCGGTCGGGAGGGCACCGCGGAGTACGAAGTCGTATCCGAGGTTCCACAGGAGAGGCCCAAGGACCGACCCCTGTGGAACACCGCAGCGCACCTCGTGGTGATGCACCCTGCCGTCTACCCCCACAAAGGAGATCTCCCGTCCACGGAGGTAATTTCCGATTATCCGCCGGATGTAGAGTGGCAGTCTGTGGAATCGGAGGGCCTCTTCGATGACGCCAAAGGGGAGGGAGTTGAACGCGTTGGTGATGTCAAGAGACACCGCCAACGCAACTCCGCCCCCAGACACGGCGCCATCTGTGAGACTCCTCAGCCTCAGGATGGCGTCTATGGTGGACCGCCCACCCCGAAAGCCAAACTCACACTCACTCAGCTCGGGCCCATTCCTACTGATATGTTGGACGACGCGGGACGCGATGATCCGCTCAAAGAGCTTCCCCGCGTCGTCTAGTAAGACAATTGGACGGTACGCAGACGGCGAGTCCGCAGGTCTTCCCGCCTTCCGGAGAAGAACGAGCCTCCCCTCTTTCCATGGCGACGGAAAGCGGCCCGTTCTCAAACACCCATTGAGGATCCCTAAGTACCACTCGGCCAACTCGCCCAGGGCGAGAGCCAGGACGCATCCGGGAATTATTTTCCCAACACTAATTTAACCAACACCGACTGATAAAATAGGAGCGATGTATTAATACTGATATACAAGTAGTATCCCATTTGTCTAATTTTTTGTATCGTTTATTGGAGGTCTTATTTTTTATATTTCTTTTAAGACTGGTACTCTCCAAACTTAAATGAATTAAAATTAATTGTATCTAAGATTTTCGAATGTGAACATTTAAATGAAACTGAGTTTTTCACGTTTTTCTTATTTCATTTGTGTGTAATCTGTCCGTGACCACGGT